TCATAAGGTTTAATGTTCTGTTGTATTACAAAATGACAGATCAACTGCATATGCATCCAGAGAAGGTTCTAAATAAGGACTCTGGTAAAATAAAAAATGCAGGTAAATTATAGGCTGTTTTGGGTAATTCTGTATTTTGTTTTTTCAGACTTTTCATTTAAAAGTTTTATTAAAAAAAAACAGTTTTGTCTATTACAATAAGCTTTTTACAGACTGTTCCCTTGTTAAAAGCTTGTTATTGGAATTTTTCCTCAAACAGTAATCACATTAAAAGTCTGAATTCTTCCTCCTCCACCCCTTTTCACTCTTAACCAAAACAAAACAAGTTAATTCCAAAGTCTAACAGGTACTGTTTCAATACTGAGGAATTGCCAGGAGGCGGGGGTCAAAGTTAGAAAGCTATTTAAATTGTACTTACAATCTTGAATATGGAATCTTTACTGTGTCTATTAGGCCAGCGTGTGTCAAACTTTTTTTACTGGTGACCACTTTCACATAGCAAGTCTCTGAGTGCGACTCCCCCCGCCCCTCTTATAAATTAAAAACACTTTTTATACATTTAACACCATTATACATGCTGGAGGCAAAGCAGGGTTTGGAGTGGAGGTTGACAGCTCACAACCCCCCATGTAATAACCTCATGACTCCCTGAGGGGTCCCAACCCCCAGTTTGAGAACCCCTGTATTAGGCTCTTTTAAAGGGTGGTTCTCATCCACAATTTTTCAGAATTTGTTAGATCTTTTACTGTAAATCCCAATTGTTTTAAGTCGTGTTTAAAAAGCCTCTTTAAAAATCATATTTGGAATTCCCAGCTTTTGCCTCTTTTGGAGACAGCAACTAGGAACTCTGATGTCATCTGGGTGGGAATTCACAACTACAGTACATCCAGGGAACAAAAAGTTAACTAAAACTACATTTGTTGTCTATGCAGTATCCTTTATTGGCCATTGCCACAGTCCTCAAAACATCATAGGATTTATCAAGGACACCACTACCTTCAATAATACTTCCATACATTAACAAGCCAACTTCTTTTGTTTGGCTGGATGGCCTTTGCTGAAAAGTGCAAAGGCATTTTGGAGCCGGATGTTAAGCCCATTGAAGTCAGTGGGAGTTTCCCATTGATTTCAGTAGGCTTTGAACTGGGTCCTTAATGTACTTTTAACATGGTAGTAGGGTGAACAGTGGGGTACAGATGTGAGTTGGATGCATCTATAAAGCTGCTATTTACCTTAATCAGGACTGGGATACAGTATTTATTATATATGCGTACAGATTTACCTTGTCCCTTCTCCTCCTTTTGTCACAATAGCAGGCAAAAAAGCCAGATCACTAGTGATGGATCATCCAGAGATACTAGTCAAGGGTAACAAGGAGTCTGGTGGCACCTTAAAGACTAACAGATTTATTTGGGCATAAGCTTTCGT